TTCCAAGAGAGGTCGCTTTAAACCGAATTCACACTAAATCGAAGTGTTGTTTCAATGGAATAATTTAGTTTAGTACTTGAGAGAAACACAAAATACTAAAAAGACTTGACAGTTTACCCAGATGCACCTCAGCCCATTTCCTAGAATGAACAAAACATTGTTTTTTGTAGTATTATGTTAAAACAAACACTCATAAATCAACACAGCTAAAATTATGGGGCATGAAATGGTCTGTTTACTAGCGATCGGCTAATGTGAAGATTGGGGAGGTGAGGTGATATGTATGACAGTTGATGCTTATTTATTTATCTGTCCTTAAGAGTGACTCTTAAGTTTTTCTCTTATAAAATATCACTGAACTGACATGTTCTAATTAATTTTATTACAAAGGGCTAAAGATTTTCATCTCTTGTGCAAAATATATGACGTTTACAGTCAACCCTCGCTTTACGCGGTCCCACTTTACGTGTTTCCACGTTTACGCGGTACCCTGCCGAACACGGAATGCTCACTTTCCACGGTGCGTGTACCCTTTTACGCGGAGAGCGGCGCGAGCAGGGTGCGCACAAGGTCGCCCAGTCATCAAAACATTACCGAGTTCTTCACCCGCCACCCACCACAGCCGGCCCAAGTCAGTGATAGTGATAATGATAGTGAGGATATGGACTTATATGGACTTTGAGGGGTTTGACAAAGAGGCCCTGCAAGACTCTGTGGTGGATAGTGATACAAGTGATACAGGTGAGGGCCAATAATCTGCCCACTGCCTCGGAACCAACCCCCCATCCCCATGTGCCTAGCCATCTTTTCTACTAATGTAAGTGTTAAAAAACCTAATATTATTGATATTTCTCTTAATTATTAATTGTGTGTGCCTACCATCATAAAATTAATAAGTTATTTTTACTACAACGTAGGTATTGTGTCTAAAAAAGTGGAGTTTGGGGGTTGGCCCGGTCTCTATTTCAATTAATCCCATATGTTATGTTGTTTACTTTACGCGGGCAGCCATGGGTTCAATTGACCGCGTAAAGTGAGGGTTCACTGTATATTCAAATTATTCGCTGTCTTGCATGGATTCCAGCAATACAAATTATATTCTCCTAACTTTAGTCTGTGATATTATATAACAAAAAACTGTAAGCCTAAAACCACCAATCCCTGGCTGGGAAGATGGGGGGAATGGGGGAGGGAGGGAGGGGAAGGAAGTGACAGTGACATGTTTGTCAGTTGGGGCCAAAGTTGTAGTGAAGTATTTTTTTGTTTATTTATGTCCCTTAGATTGAGTTTAGGTTTTTTGCTTATAAAATGTCACAGAAGTGACCTGGGAGAATATAATTTACATTGCTGGAATTCTTATAAGATAGTGATTAATTCGAATATAAACAAGGTATAGTTTGTACTTGACAAAAATTTTAGTAATCATTTAGTACATTATTTTGAGTACATGTACGGTACAGCTTTGCCCTTAGGACAGTGTAGGGTGCCCAGAGAAACATTAGGCGCGAATTTTAAAATATGATGCGCCAGATTGACTTGCGCAAAATAGGGTGTCGCTTTAAATTAAAACATTGTCCTTAATTGTGGGTCTCGCTTTAAATCAATAATCTTAAATTAAATTGCTTTAAATCGATGTTCTACTGTACTACCGGCAAGTCAGCAGAGCCAGGGCTTGTGTTCTAAGTCACTGGACCAAGTTTGGCACTCTTGATGATCTGGTTAAGTAGTGCCTCAGAGCTGTTAGGAACCTGCAGAGCATGATCTTTAGTTTCCGCAGACTCACCTGGCAAGTCCCCTCTCTGAGCTAGATCTCGAATTGATACAGTTGTTTCCTTGCCATCAGCAAAGAGCAGCTCCGCCTCTTCGACAGCAGGATCATACTTATACTGTTTGACATGACGCCTTACAAGAACAAGTCCTGGTGAAAAAAGCCAAGTTAGAATGGAGCATCCACTAGTTGAAGGACGCTTGACGTTGAATAAATGTTGTGTGGTGTGGCATTTGTCGCGGTTGACAGTAATGTACGTATCGAATGCAGTGCATCTTGTAGGATGTGTTCCCAGTGAGAGATGGGTAAGCGGTGAGTTTTGAGTGCAAGAGTCACAGCCTTCCAAATTACCCCATTGTAGCATTCACACTGGCCATTTCCTTGAGGATTGTAGGGTGTGGTTCGGCTGGTAGAAATCCCACGTCTATGTAAAAAGTCATGAATTTGTGAGGACATAAAGGAAATGCCTCTGTCTGAATGTATAAAAGCAGGCATGTCATATCAGTACTGTACAAGGAAAAACAAAATGGAAATGAGAGAACTCGTCTATCTCTGTCGGCAAATATCGATTAGAAGATGATGATGGCCGTGATCCTTTGAAGTAGATACTGAGCCTCTCAAACGGATGTGTAGCTTTGACCATATGAGACGTTTCTGGCTGATAGAACCTCGGCTTGCACTCAGCACAAACGGAGCATGAAGAAATAACCTTCCTGGTCTATTATCTGCTGAAAACAAGCCACTCCATTGGTGACCCCGAATAGAATTCGACGAAACTGGTAGAGTTGCAGACAAGCTTCAAAAGCGTTGTATGGTTTGTCTTCATCTCGTATGGGAACTTGGTGGTACACAGACTTCAGGTCAATTGTGCTAAAGAGTTTGAACTGAACTACAGTGTTCACCAGCTCATCAATCTTAGGCAGTGGGTAGACATCCAATATTGTGTAACGGTGTATTGTCTGCGAGTAGTCCACCACTATACGTTTCTTGTGTCACTCATTAGTAGTGACTACAACTTGAGCTCGCCATGGTAAAATGCTGGGCTCGATGACTCCTTCTGCGAGAAGCATCTTTATTTCTGACTCAGTGAGCTTCTTATCTGGAGCACTGTATTTTCTTGATTTAGTTGTAATAGGCTTACAGTTTTTAGGGAGATTTCCAAAAAGTGGATGAGGAGAAACTGAAAAGGTTGCTAGTCCACACACATTTAAAGGGGGTTTGTCTCCATCAAACTTCACACATACACTCCTGTGTTGTTTCATAAAATCCTGGCCCAAGATGACATCACAGCATAGATCAGGCAATACAGATAGTCTTACATTATGGCCCTTCAGTTCTACATAAACCAGACAATAACCAGACATTTTAGTGCTCAGTGAAGTAGAAGCCATGGACACAGTGGTAGAGCCTGGTTGCACATATAGTTGGTGCTTACTAACGAGAAACTGACACACAATACTCTCAAAACTGCCTGTATCCATAAGAGCTCTGACTTGTCTCCCGTTTACTTTGATCATCACCGTAGCTTTCAAGAGACTTCCTGAAGATGCTGCAGTCATTCCTGCCTGAGTAGGAGATTGAAGAGCAGCAGATGTTGATGATGATTTTGCTGACCTGCACACCTTCCCGAAATGACACTTGTTGCAGGTAGCTTGTCGTGCTGGACAGTTCTGAAAAGGGTGTGTGCTGTATCCACAGAAGAAACATTTCTGCCCTTTTTAGACAGCAGCTGACATATGACAGGTGTCTTTGTTTAATCTGTCATTACTTGTAGCAGATACAGTACTATATCATCACTTGAACATGGCCTTGCTGCATTGAAGGTTGTCTGTGGTGTAGCATATGACTCTGAGCACTTGATCAAGAGCTTTTGCTTCTTTTGCTTAATCGAATGCTGTTGAAAGATGAAGAGTCTTGTTCTCTATAAGTCTCTGGCGAATAATGAATAACATTTGACAGCAAGCTGCTAATGAAAGCATCACAAATTGCTTCCTCTCTACACTTCTCAGCTCTGACCGCCTTATAATTACTGTCTCCACTTTGGTGTTTCAATGCTTGCAGAAATTCATCCAATGTTTCTCCTGATTGTTGTCGACGGGTGGCTAGTAGATGTCTGGCATAGAACTTCATTTTTAGGTTTTACATACATATTTTGCAAAGTCCATATAACACTCTCATGTGTTGTACAGTCAGAAATATACTCGTACAGAGAAGAAGCAATGTAGTTAGTAAGCACATTCAGCTTGTTAGGAGTGTGTTGCTGTATGGCTGTAAGAAAGTTGTCGAACGTCTAGTGCCACTGCTTCCACTCCTTCCATGCTGTGCTGGAATTGGGGTTGGCCTCAAATTGCTCAGGTCGCAGTGTGATCGCATTTTTTTTTTTTTTTTGTATCACACAATTGTTTTAAATAATTTCTGGAACTCTTAAAGTGGCAGGGCTGATGTAAGCACTTCTTCTGGACTTTCTTTATTGCTAAAGCATCTATATACACAGTATTTAGTTTGGAAGAGAATGTATTGTGAATTCTCTCCAGGGGATGTGTTATAGGTACACTTGTATAGGAACACTTAAGTTAGGTGCTCTCCCCTTAACTAGTAGTAAGAATCTGCCCTCTCCTCTGAGCAGGAGAGGAGCATCAGGCGGGGTGTTGTGATTAGTCAGGTGACCTTGCCTGACCCCTCGAGGGTGTTTCTAGCTCAGCGTGTATAACTACTGAGTCATTGTTGAATAAGTAAGTGAATAATTTGGTGTTATCCATTTGGGTGAATATTTATATAATGCAAAGGTACTGTTACAGCAGGAACTTATCCATAGGGTTTCAGAATTATGCCTGGAAACTTGCTTGAAGTTTTGTTGAATAAATTGTAGTAAAAGCCAAGTTCAAAGATGAGCTTTATTAAAAAACAAACATAAAATGATACATGTAACCCATTAAGAAAATCATCACACAACACAAACAGGCTAAGTCTAGCCAGCTAGAAATAGGTGACGCTGTCCTGATGAGAGAACCAGAACGAATCTCTAAATTTTTGTCCAAATTTTCAGGTCCATTCTGATAACCTGCAAAGAGCAGGGCAACAAATTTCAAATACACACGTAAAGAATGTAGTACATGTGGACAGACTAAAAAAAAGACGAGCCCTGACTTACTTCTCACACATTGCATCAATTAATTATCATCAGGAAGTAAGTTCCGCAAGTAAGAAATAAAAACATCTTCACCTTTTTCAGAATGGCGTGGGTCGTCTTACTGCTACTCTTGTGGAGTGGTACAGTGTGTATGTCTACATCCAAAGAAGTTCTGAAACCAGGAGTTTTAGTTGCCCCAGTAGGCAGGGTGCTGATCATTTAAGATATCATCGCGATCAAGTATGAACTCCATGGTTTGTTGCATATACCTTCGCATATGAGGTCCATAGCTGTACACATTGAAGCAGCTATGACACACCTTGGATGACAACCTAATATTTCTTACTATTTCTACCACTATTGAACAGACTATCAATATACATAACATTCATATGAAGTCCCTCCCAAGAATATTATGAACTGCAGGAGCAAGATTTCTACATCTCGTGAAGATATTGGTAAGAAGGTGCGGGCTCAACAACGTGACAAACATGGATTGTCTAACTTCGTTGGTTTTATCTCAAGTGAGCTGTTTAGTTCAGTAACAACTGAGGATTTAGCTGTAATGAAATAAAATAGGGCCTCATCTCAGACTTACCAAGCAATTTAGTCTTTACAATCAAAAGTGAATGCAATCGTTGAGGAAACTAACCAATTAACTTGAATTGTACATGGCTTGAAACGATTTGTGCCTACACATAAATGGCTTGTACTTTTCACTGAATATCTGCATGCCACTGAAACCTATGCACAAGCTTTAATTGCAGCAAATGACATGCTTTTCACTAACTTAGTGAATGCTGGGTTAGGCCATGTAGATGTACAATTATTACCAATATGTAAACTTAACACTTTAGACATAGCTAACAGAGAATGTCACTTAATTCCTATGTTCCAAGAACATGGAATGGAATCGTACCCTCTGTTAGAAGCTACACTAATGCATGAGGTGATATTAGTACACATTCCGTTGGAATTATCTCAAAAGTTTCAGGCATGACATCTAGAACACTTTTCAATGGAAGCAAATGACACTCTTATCACCATTGACAAACAACTGAACTACTGGTAGTAATGGAGGACTATTCTTTAGTAACCTCAACGAATCAAGATGTACTAACTCATTGCATGTCATCATATTTACACCTATATGTGTGTCCAGATTTACTCCTGTTGGAGAGACTACAGTGGGGTGTCATTTTATGCGGGTCTCGCATGCACCATTATCGCTTACGCTATTGGTTGAAATGCGACTACAGTGATCACTCGGTTAACGAACACAATTAGTTCCACAGAGTCGTTCGTTAACCGAAAATTTCGTAAACCGAATCCATTATTTCAATGGGATATTGGGTAATTGGTTCCAGCTCACAGAAAAGTACATACAAAGTATAAAGAAAATGCAGTAAAGTATACTTACTTTGAGGTGTGTATGTAGAAGGTTCCTGGTTGATGATGATAATGGGAATTAGAAGTGGGGGGTGGAGGAGAAGGGAGAAGAGATGAAAGTGGGGATGGAGGAAAAAGGAGAAGAGAAGCATTTTAATGCTTCTTGGAAGCAATAATTGTAGACACAGTTGATGCCAACATGCCATATTCTTTACTCTGTACATTGGTTCTAATGCCTTCTTCATGTTTCTTAATAATTTCCTGTTTCTCTTGAATTTAAGTCGCCTTTCTAGATTTCTTTGGACCCATGCTTCATGCAGTACAGTAATTTCACCAATAAAATTTTAAGTTCACTAGCTGTAATTAAAGATTATTTTATTTAAATCAACACTGCACTGCGCTTTATATTATCAATATGTTAACTAAATTTCAGAATGACCAATAATTTTAATGTAAAAACACTCTGTATTCAAGAGAGCGACAAACAAGATGTTTCCACACTGTAAACAAAGTTAAACTGACGCTTTGGCGGGTGAGTCAAGCAGCTGATGGGCGCACAAAAAAATAGTTCCCTTTACGGAATATATTATCAATATGTTAACTAAATTTTAAAATGACGAATAATCTTAGTATAAAAAATGCAAAAATATTAAAGAACACAACCTTCTTGATATTTACTCTACTTGAAACGAATGTAAACATAGAACTGATTACTGTATTGGCGGACTAGCCTATCAGCTGATGCTCACAACAAAACGTGTTTGTCGTAAGGATTTCGTTTATCAAAGTTTTGTTCGTTAACCGAATTGAAGATCCTTATGCGAGCTAATTCGTTAACCGAAATTTCATTAATCGAACCGTTTGTTAACCGAGGGAACATAGCTTACTGCACCGGTTATCCGTGCCTTTTTGTTTGCTTTGTGAATCACAGGAAGGTGATCCTTAGAGTAACCTTTCAGGGCCCGTGGGTTGTCAGCGCGAGAAATCAACATCGGCTTCAGCTTGAAGTCACCAGCAGCGTTTGTGCCAAACAGCAGCGTTTGTGCCAAACAGCAGCGTCAAGCGGTCTTTTTCCGCTTTAAAACCTGGCACTCTTTTTTTCTCCTTGGAGATATAGGTCCTTTCAGGCATCCTCTTCCAAAAAAGACCAGTCTTATCCACATTGAAGACATGCTACGCTGATTAGCCTCCTTCCTGGATAATCTGTTTGAATTCTGGCGGGTATGTCTCGGCAGGAACCGTATCTGAACAAGCAGCTTCACCAGTCATCTTTATGTTGTGGAAGTTATAACGACGCTTAAAACGTTGAAACCAGCCTCAGCTGGTTGTAAAGGTCTCTTCCTTCAATCCTTCACCCTCTGTTTCCTTTAGGTCATCAAACAAGGATCTGGCCTTATGCTGGATGACCATAAGGCTCACAGGTGCATTGCATTGATTCTGGTCCTCCATCCACATAGCCAGCATCTTTTTTACATTTCTATTAAAGTGCTTCGAGTACAATTTGTCTTTGTTACACTCAGAGTAGTACCACTTCCAGCACTAACCTTAATCTTGTCCAAGTTGGTCTGGATATGGATAGTGCACACTGTTGTGGGGCTTAGACCTAGCACAGCGGCTCTGTCCACAGAGCATTCCCATTTTTTCAAAACGGATTAATACATCCATTTTCGTAGCAAGGGTAATAGTCTTACGTTGCCTCTTCTCTTCACTCGCATCAGTAGCACTTGATGGGTGACTTGGAAGCCTTTTTGAATGGTTAGAGAACAGTATTAAGAGCAAAAACACTTAAACACACATGAATGATGTGGAAGCGTAACAGAGACTGGCTTGGCGTCGCTTTGGGACGCTGTGATGTTCCGCTAGTTAGAAGTAGCACACCGATCCGAGAGAGCATAGCGAGAACAGATGAGGGAGGGTGATGCTCTGAAAAAGTAGTCTGTGATGATGCAAAAATTACGTTAAATTGAGTCGTCGGGACGTTAAACGAGTTATTGGTATCTAAAGAGTAGCGACGTAGTACCGAAACAATGGCAAGCGGGGTGACGTTATACGAGGACTTACTGTATCATCCAAGTATACTGTAGTACATACAAAGCATTTTTGCAAGGCACTGAAGCAACGTATTACTGAATCTAATCTTCAGTTTGATGATTCATGAGCTTAGTTACAACACACTTTTTATAACATTGTTAGGTACTGTACTCATATGGATTATCTGCATGGATAGTTAAAACCACGTGGAACTTGATTGGTAGGGGCCGAACAGTGTGTTAATCTCTGTATTACAGTAGAACCTTGATAAGTCAAGACTAATTGGGGCAGACCAAGTCCCCAAAAAACAAATCTATGAGCAGGGTGGGGGTGGATTTAACACTGCTTATCTGAACAGATTAAAGAAAATCAGTTGTTATAATGTTATTACTGCACTTAAACAACTAAGGTCTTAAATTGAATAATAAGTTTGTTAAAACACTATTACATCAACAATAAAAAAAGCTTTTTTTTTTCTAGAAACCAGTTTTTGTGATATAGATCGAATGCGACGCTCAGCAATGCTACCTAGGTATGTTAATTCCTAGCCAATTCGCCAGGCCAACATACAGGCAATTAAAACATCTAATAATTACTTAATAAGTAATATTAGGAGGACACGTTGCTACCTGGCATTTAATTGCTATTTTCAAAGTCCTTCCCTCATCCAGCCACCATGCGCACTGCGAACCTCATCTCTTGCCTCAGAGAGAGCAGTAATTAAAAGTCAACTCTTGAGGGGTGGAGATGGGTGGGTTATGGACGTGACATTCGAGCTATATCACAAAAACTGGTTTTTAGAAAAAACGGCTTTTTGTTCAAGCTCATGAATGCGACGCTCAGCAAGAATACCCAAGTAGGAGGTGGAGAGGGAGGTGACTTTGCATACAAGGCTCCGCTGATTGAGGTCCTGATTATATTATAAACTATTATGAAAATTTCCAGAATTAGGAACATTCACCGGAAGGTAAAATGTTAATTTACTCAAAAAGGATACTCACTTTATTCTAATGAGGAAGAAGGTCCTCGTAGTGGAGATTGACTAGATGGGGGAGGGGAACCCAGCACCACCACATCTGAAGCATCTCTCAGAGATAGATGAAGATAGCTGTCTTTGAAAGTTTTGAAGATCTCCAAAAGCCCATTTCCTTGATCTGACTGAGACTCATATGCTGCAGAAAGGCCACAGACCCTGCATGTTTCCTAGTGTCATGTGCCAAAAATTTCTTGCCAGGGCCTGCTTGATTCACTAATTGAGATAAGATTTTGTCAATTGATTAGGAGATAATTTTTTACCATCCCTTGATGAGAAAACCATAAGGGCCTCTATTAGGGAATCTGGTTAACCATTCCTGAAGATTTTTAACTGGACACAATATGTGAGGAACCCTTGTTTCATCCATTAGACGTTTTATCCTAATAGGTTGAGCTTGGAAATCTTCCCTTTCATTTTTTCTTAGGATCTCCGTAGGAAAAAGGATAACATCCTCGTCAGAAAATACCAATAATGATGGATTACTGGAAATTAAAATCAGTTCACTGATTCTCATACCCGTTGCTATTGCTAGAAGGAAAGCTGCCTTCTGGAGTAATTTATCCCTGTTCAGATTTATATTGTAATTAGGCCCCATAAGTAGTATGGCCCCCTTGGGTCTTGGGTGAAACTACTACTACTGAATTCAAATTCTCTACTGACAGACAATTCCTTGAATGTAGTGCCTGAGCTGAACTTTCTAGTCCTTGTAGCTCAGCACTCAATAGTATCTCCTCATGGACGGTTCCATAGTCTCCTCCATTGTCCATAGGCCTGGAATCCTGAC